CAGGCGGGTCTCGAACCCACGGGCTCAGGCAATCTACTCACCTCAGCCTCCCAAAGGTGCGGGATTACAGGCTGAGCCACCGAGCCTGGCTTCTGAGCCAGTTCTAAGATGCTCAGTTGTCTGGTTGCCAAACTCACAGCATATTAATTAACAGCTTTTTAAATTAGAAGCTGCATGGTGACCTATACCAAAATCAGAGTGGTCAAGGGCTGTACAGTCTAGAATAGAGTTCCTCAACCCCCCATGGCCACAACCAGTCTGTAGCCTGTTTGGAACCAGGCTACACACTAGGAGGTGAGCAGCCAGCAAGCGAGCAAAACTTCATCTGTATTTACAGCTGCTTCTCATCATTTGCATTACCACTTGAGCTCTGCCTTCTGTCAGATCGGGGCGGCATTAGATTCTCACAGGAGCACAAACCCTATTGTGAACTGTGCATGTGAGGGACTCGTATCAAAACTCTATCAGTGAGTGGCAAATGAGTTGATGTACTTCAATTGTACAGCTGCATCTGGTGGCAGGCTTTAAGTCAGAACCTGAGACTTATTTTAGTAGGTGTGGCCCGCCCATTTTTATTTACCATTTCCATCTGTGCCTTTTAAATGGTGAGTTGTATAATTATTTCATTATATCGTGCAATGTAATAATAGAATAAAGTGTATAATAAATATGCACTTGAATCATTCCAAAACCACCCCCCCCCCCAGAAAAAATTGTCTTCTATGAAACCGGTCCCTGGTACCAAAAAGGTTGGAGACCCCTGGCCTAGAACACAATAGGCCAATAGGATTAGAGTATGAAAAGTATGAAAAGGGCAAATAATATTTGGTATTTTGTTTCAATAAGCTTATAATTAATTGTGTAATGAATTATAACGCATTTATATCACCCCGAGTGATTCACATTTTACATTATAGTGTTTTTGTAGTCACGACCTGGAACAACATCCCCAAGGTACCCCTACGTCTGTAGCCAAAGAATCACTGACTAATTAACAGAACTCACTTTCGATCCAGCGGGCCTCGATTTCGCTTGTTACGAATGAGGTCGGTGTGCCTACTTCGGGGAGACCAAGGTGGTGGGTCCTAGAAATTTCTACATTCCAAGAGGAACTGAGGCAGGATAGCCTAACAGTGGGTTTCCTATGCATCTCACGAAAAATAGATCTCTGCCCCAAGTGTCGTGAAGCGGACTTTTACCAAACCACGAACTCGCATCTCTCCCAGGATCCGGTCCGCTGGCGTCCAGGAAGAAAGCAAGGGCCCCACCGTAGCAGAGGTACCGCGTCCCAGCCCCGCCCCCAGCGCCACGGCCCCGCCCCCTGCCCGTCTCGGAGCGCCGTTCCCAGGACGTCGCCCGGGGACAACGCCAAGCGCGGCGTCACACGCTGACCACCCCTGGGAACTCGCATTTTAAATAAGCGCCTCACGTGACTTTGATTCTAATCACTTGGAAAAATGCCGTACTGCCAACCACTCCGCTCCCTTCGGCCCACGTCTCGCCCCTGCGCACAGCTGAGCCCGCCCCGCAAAGAAACCCGACGCCGACAGGGGCGGCGCCGGCCGCGGGGCGAGGGTGGGGCGGCGCTGCGCGGCACTGGGCCTGCGCACGGCGTCTTGCGTCATCCGGCCGCGCCCTGCCGTTCCGCGGCGGCCGCCCAGAGTCCCGGCGGCGGCAGGGCCCAGGGCGTCCCGGGTGGGGTTTCGCCGGCGCTCCCCCATGGAGGAGGTCTTGCCTGAGGCTGCTACCCCGAATGCTCGCACCTTCCGCACGGTGACGAGGGTGGCGGCCGCGCGAGCGCAGGGCTGGGCGGTGGGGGCGTGAGCCGCGGGACTGCTCCTCCCTCAGGCAAGCGCGCGCGGGGCGGCGGGCGGCGTGGGCCGGGGGCTTCAGGCCGCTCCCCTGGGGGCGTCGACATGCGGGGTGGGTGCCTGGCCACTGCGTCCGGTGGAGGCCGGCGCAGGCCTGTGGGTCGCGTCGGTTGAGCTCGTCGCAGTAGCTTGGGTGGTCTTGTCTCTGGAGGTGGCTTCAGTCCTGCCGGGGCGGCGTCCGCGGGGGGCGGCCTGAGGGCTGCCGTGACGTTTCCAACATGGCTGTTTAATTCCCCGACTTTTATGAAGTCATTGAACTCTGGTTCCCGCTCCGTACAGTTGCGCAGAGTTCGATGTATGTGTCGTTCTGTATGTGCCTCGTTAGTTTCGTTTTTTTAAAAACAGTACTGCATCTTTCGTTCTATATCTAGAAACCCTGTGTGTGGCCGGGCGTGGTGGCTCACGCCTATAATGCCAGCACTTTGGGAGGCCGAGGCGAGTGGATTGCCTGAGCCCGAGGGTTCGAGACCCGCCCGGGCAACTTGGCGAGACCTCCTCGTCTCTATAATAAATCAAAAATTAGCCGGGCGTGGTGGCACGTGCTTGTAGTTTCAGCTACTTGGAAGGCTGAGGCGGAAGGATCGCCGGAGCCCAGCAGATCGAGGCTGTGGTGACCGGGAGCGTGCCACTGCACTCCAGCCTGGGCGATGGAGTGAGACTCCAACGCAAAAGATAAGAAAAAGAAACCCTGTGTGTACCATGAGCCCAGTTAGTACTTTTTTTGAAAAAAGTAATCAGAGGGAATTTGAGAGTAGAGATCTTTCATGCCAGTAAGCCTTCTGTCCAAACAGCGTATTCTCGATCCAGTAGGGTTTGTGTTGATTGGTCAGTAAAATGAGTACGGAAGTTAGTAGATGAAGTACTCAGTTACTTTATTTGATCGTTTTGCCTACTTCTGTATTTTCTTATTTCCAGGCTGGAGCTACTCTGCCAGGGTTTAAAATTTTAAATGAGAATTAAGGGTAGTAATTTACAAGGAAACGAGAATGAATAAACCATCTCTAACCTCCAGTCTGTTTTTCATAAGAGAGACCATATTAAACTTACATGTAAGTTAAAATTTTATTTTGTAATTAATGTTGCTAGAGTTGGAGGTTTAGTTTCTGTAGTATTTATAAGTAAAATACTGCTTTAAAAAATAGCCAAATGAGAGGTTGAAAAAGACTAAAGTGCACTTTAGATTAGCAACAAAAACCAAGCAGTAAAGACTTAGGAAAGACTAAGTCTAAAATAAATGGATTACAGATCGGTTTCATGTCTTTTAGATTGGCATATATTCTGTAGGGCCTGCATGATCTGACACCTTTTTACACCTGTGGTATCTGACCTACCTCCCTTGCTCAGAGTCAGTCATAGTGGCTTTTGTTTTCTTAGGGGAAAAAAAGCCTGCTCATACCTCTACCTTTGTGTCTCTGATTTGTTCCTTTTCTCTCTTTCAAGTTTTTGCTCAGCAAGGCCTCTTAACCAGAATAAGAATGCCTTTAACATACTTTGCCAACGCCCTTAAGTTCCCAACACTCTTAACATGTATTATTTTTTACCATAGCATTTGCCACAATCCAATATAATATCTTTATTTTGTTTATTGTTTGGTTCTACCTCCAACAGAAGGTAAACTCCGTACAGGTGGGATTTTGGTCTGTTTTATTCATGGTTGTACCTAGAATATAGTATGTAGCTAAAATATAATGTGTTCCTAGAATATAATATGCATCCAGTAAATCTTTGTTGGTTGGTGATACAGGTAAGCCACTGTTCATAAGGAGCCACTTGAAGGTGATATGAATTATGTACCTGACTACCCATAATATAGGCTAGAAAATAAGAATCCAAAGAGAAGTGCAGGTTAAAGGTTAGGGAATTCAAGAAAGATTGTGGAATTCAAGCAGAGCTTCCTTGCAGAGGTGCTTTTTGAACTGAGGGTTAGTACAAACAAAATATGGAGGAGGAAAAACAGGAGTAGATTAGAATGGTAACAGTAATCAGACGAGAAGGAGTCAGGGGTATTCCCATGGGAAAAGAAGTCAAGTTATCCCTCTTTGCTAACAATATGATCCTATATCTCAAAAATCCAGGAGAATCCGTCAAAACCTCCTTGCACTTTTATTTGTTTGTTTGTTTGTTTTGAGTTGGAGTCTCACTCTGTCGCCCAGACTGGAGTGCAGTGGCTGATCCCGGCCACCACAGCCTCTACCTGCTGTGCTCCAGTGATCCTTCTGCCTTAGCCTTCCGAGTAGCCAGAATTACAGGCGCGCACTACCACGCCCGACTGATTTTTTGATTTGTTGTAGAGATGTGGTCTTGCTGCCCAGGCGGGTCTCGAACCCGCGGGCTCAGGCAATCCACTCACCTCAGCCTCCCAAAGTACGGGATTACAGACTGAACCACCAAGTTGCCCAGGCTGGTCTTGAACCCCTGGGCTCAGGCATTGTCTCACCCCCAAAATGCTGGGACAGGCATGAGCCGCCATGCCTGGCAACAGTCACATTCTTTTCCAACAACAAACAGGCAGAGAACCGAATAAAGAGCACAATCCCATTTACGATAGCCACACACAAAAAAGAAATTCCTTGGCATCTTCCTAACCAGAGAAGTGAAAGATCTTTACAACAAAAAGTACAAAAAAATTGCAGCAGTATGCTGACCTGGGTAGAGCACAGTGTGTGTGAAATATATTAGGAAATAAGATTTAACAGGTGGGTTTAGAACAAATCATGAAAGTTCTTAGTCACTAGGTTAAACAGTTTGCACTTTTTGCTGTAAACAACATTAATTCTTAATTTTTTTTTTTTTTTTTGAGTTGGAGTCTCACTCTGTTACTCCGAGTGGAGTGCAGTGGCCGCTTCTGGCCACCGCAGCCTCGACCTGCTGGGCTCTGATGATCTTTCCGCCTCAGCCTTCCAAATAGCTGGAACTGCAGGTGCGTGCTACCACGCCCGGCTAATTTTTGATTTATTGTAGAGATGAGGTCTCGCCAAATTGCCCAGGCTGGTCGCAAACCCATGGGCTCAGGCAATCCACTCACCTCGGCCTCCCAAAGCACTGGGATTACAGGCTGAGCCACTGAGCCCGGCAGTAATTCTAAATTTTTAAGTAGCATAATAAGATTGAGGTGTGTTTTATAGAGTAGCATTGCTGCATCATGCATTGTAACTAGACTAGACTGGGATAGATGCAGGCGCAGGGTCTGGTCAGGCAGAGCAGGTGCAAGGCTGTATTTTTTTTTTTTTCTTTTTGAGTTGGAGTGTTACTCTGTCATCCAGGCTAGAGGGCAATGGCACGCTCTTGGCTACCGCAGCCTTGACCTGCTGGGCTCAAGTGATCCTTCACCTCAGCCTTCCAAGTAGCTGGAACTAAGGCATGTGCCACTATGCCTGGCTTTTTTTTTTTTTAATTGTAGAGATGAGGTCTCACCAAGTTGCTCAGGCTGGTCTCAAACCTGCGGGCTCAGGCAATCCTCTCACCTCAGCCTCCCAAAGTGCTGGGATTATAGGCATGTGCCACTGCACCATATTTCAAAGGTAGAAGCCAGCTGGCTCTTGCCTCTGTGTCTACTCTATGGTGAAGCCATTGCCAGAGTACAAGGCGGAGTAGATGGGGCAGGGAAGGCAATGACCTGTACTAATAGTCTGGTTGGAGCTGCCGCTTGGCTTGTGCTCCATCTCAGGGACAAAAAGGACACTCCAGTGGGAAAGGCAGAAGACTAAGAATGGGGATACCTGGATGTTCTGCATCTGTGACAAGTTAAAATTTGAATAGGCTGTTGTTAGAATGTTTTATTTTCTCAGCTGTGGAATTCTTGTTTACGGGATCTTTGATCATCTTTATAACTCCAGTGCCTTGCAAATAAGAACTGTTCAGGATGCTTGTTGAACAGTTGGCCATGTGTAAATAATGGTCTGGGGTTACTCCACTGAGTCCCTCTGAGGAGCTGGACAGATTACCAACTGGAGCTTGCCATCTCTAGTTTGGGAACTTAGCTGAGGTGAAAGTTACAAGGTTTTCTTGTTTAGCTGTCTTTAGTCCTGCTAATCCTTAAGAATAACCAATATTAAGCGGGGGACGGTGACTCGTACCTGTATTCCAAACACTTTGAGAGGCCAACGTGAGAGGATTGCCTGAGCCCAGGGGTTCGAGACCAGCCTGGGCAGCTTGGTGAGTCCTTGTCTCTACAATAAATCAAAAAATTAGCCAGGTATGGTAGCTTGCACCTATAGTTCCAGCTACTTGGAAAGCTGAGGTGGAAGGATTGCCTGAGCCCATTAGGTTGAGGCTGTGGTAGCCATGAGTGAGCTACTGCACTCCAGCCTGGGCAACAGAGTGAGACTCCAACTCAAGAAAAAAAAAAAAAAGAATAGCCAATATCTTTGTTGCAGGTTCTCTCAGCTGTGATTGATCTTCAGTTACAGAGCGTGGGAGCAGAGCCTGACCAGGTCTGAGAACAGCAAAGCAACTTATTCCTTTCAGGACATTCACACTAATGTCCTATTTCCAAACTGTAAGTCAGAATGAGATAATTTATTTTCTTAGTTTAGTGACTGAAGGCTACTTTGTAATTTGAAGACTTATAAATTTTTGCCATTTCTCTCCATCTCTCCACACATACACACTGGTACAGTTCCATGAGTGAACAAACAACCAAATAGAATTAATTCTAGAAAGACTTATAAATCAAATTTCCCATCACAAATGAGTGCCTTTTGTGGAGAAAACACCACCACAAAAGAAAAAAACAATGGGCCAGGTGCAGTGGCTCACGCCTATCATCCTAGCACGTTGGGAGGCTGAAGTGAGAGGATTGCCTGAGCCTACAGGTTTGAGACCAGCCTGGACAACATAACGAGACCTCATCTCTACAATAAATCAAAATTAGCTGGGTGTGGTGGTACATGCCTGTAGTTCAGCTATTTGGAAGGCTGAGGCAGAAGGATCACCTTAACCCAACATATTGACGCTGGGGTGGCTGTGAGTATGCCACTGCTCTCCAACCTGGGTGATGGAGACTCCAGCTCAAAAAAAAAAAAGAAAAGAAAAGTATTTCAGGAACTTAAAGAGCTTATCTTCGAAGCTAGAGCAGTAATTGAGAAGTAAATTTGGTGATGCTGACTGTAAATGAGTAGAAAGGAGAGAAAATGCCTGTGGGCTGGAATTATTGGAAAAATCTTTGTAGTACAGCTTGAGGTACACCCTGGCCTAGAGTGAAGAGCAAACTCAAGATGGGATGAACAGGAGGAGTGCCTTGACCTGCCATGGGGATGAAAGCAAGGGCCTATGTGAGGGTGTCAGGATTCTGTTTGGGAAATGAAGTGGATAGGAGAGAGGTTATTTGCCCAGGGGGACTTTTGAAAGCCATATGCATATGGTGGACCGACCCGGTCAAAAAAGGACTCTCTGCTTTTTGTATGTTTGACATTTTTAATAATATATAGATAAAAATTAAAAACGAAAGGGAAAAAGTAGATTTTAAATAGCGTCATGAAACTTTATGTAAAGTAAGTGTATAGAAAACTCATATGTAAGCCGGGCTTGGTGGCTCAGCCTGTAATCCTGTGCCTTTGGGAGGCTGAGATGAGTGGATTGCCTGAGCCCACAGGTTCAAGACCCACCTGGGCAGGCGAGACCTCATCTCTACAATAAATCAAAAATAACAGAGCATGGTAGCGTGCACCTGTAGTTCCAGCTACTTGGAAGGCTGAGGCGGAAGGATCGCTGGCGCCCAGCAGGTCAAGGCTGCGGTGGCCGGGAATGGCCACTGCACTCCAGTCTGGGCGACAGAGACTCCAACTCAAAAAAAAAAAAAGAAAAAGAAAACTCATATGTAAGCCATGGTAAAGTTAGCAATAATTAATTGTAGTGGTCTTAGGATAAGATGAATAAAATTCTAGTATATGTAATTTTTTTTTTTTTTTTTGAGTTGGAATCTTACTTTGTCACCCAGACGAGTGCGGTGGTACGCTTACAGCCACCACAGCCTCGACCTGCTGGGCTCTGGCATTCCTTCCACCTCAGCCTTTCAAGTATCTGGAACTACAGGCGCGTGCTACCATGCCTGGTTAATTATTGATTTATTGTAGAGACGAGGTCTTGCCAAGTTGCCTAGGTGGGTCTCGAACCCTTGGGCTCAGGCAATCCACTCACCTCGGCCTCCCAAAGTGCTGGCATTACAGACTGAGCCACTGAGCCCGGATTGTTTTAATTACCTCTTTACCTTATGGGTAGGAGAGAGATTCCCATCCCATGACATTGACATTTGGCAGATGAAATGATCAGCAGTTTCTTAGTCTCCTCTACTCAACCCAGGACTTGCTCAGAGTGGAGTGGAGACCCAGGGGCTGTGAGAGGCAGGCCTTGAGTGTCCCTGGTTCCTGCAGGAAGATTTGATTGCGTGCTTTAGCTATTCCTTAGGCTAGCAGGGCAGTAGAGCCCACTTCTCAGTCATAAGTAGGAACTGTGCCTACTTGCTATGAGAAGGAAATTTTATACACACCTGTAGTAGGTCTGTTGGTTTGTATAAGTCAGCTATCTCAGTGGCATATAGGAGTAAGCAAATGCTTACTATGATCATGCTCACAGTTTTGTGCGTCATCTGGGGGTAATTCTGTTTATGGGTTTCACTCTGTTGTGCTTAGTGGACTATCCAGGACGTGCTCTTCCCATTGTGCTGGCAAAGTGCAAAGGGGCAAGCAGAAGCCAGAGAGTCCTCTTTAAGTCTAAACTTGGAACTGGCACTCTGTCAAGCTTGATGACCAGGCCCCAAATAATTGGGGTAAGAAAGAATATACTTCTCATTGGATTGCATAGGAACTATAATATTCCTTAACAGGCAAGCACAAAATATTGACCTTTTTCATTGATTTGGAATGATATCAACTCACTATGGTAATACTGTGTTACCATTATTAAAGTGTGTTATCACCCTTTATTTAACTGTCTTTTGTCTGTTTTCCTTATGAAGATTAAAAGCCATCACCATTTTATCCAGAGAGCTTAGCATAAGGTGTAGCATACATCCAGTAAATACTATTTGTTTGAATGAAAGGACAAAGTAATTGGGAGACTAGGAGGGTAGGAAGTTAAGTTGCTTTGGTTAAATGCCATAGTCTCATAATTTAAAGAATGGAAAAACTTGGCTGGTTAGTGACATCCTGACTGAATTACAGATTAGTTCTGGAACTCAAATTGTGGGACCAAATATCCTAAGACATACTAGGAAGTTGGACTGACAGTTATAACCAGTCATAAACCTTGTTGCTAAATACTTTTTTTCCCTCTGTTATCCACAACATGCTTTAGTTCATTTGTCAACTGAGTTTATGAGTTAGCCATTTGGGAATAAAATTGCAGTCTTCGGTAGGCCTTTGCTTCTCATCTGGTCTTGTGGATTGAACCCTTCTCTAAAAGCTACCAGTACCACACCCCATCCCCTAGCAGACGTCTCTCTGCAAGAATCATCATCCTCTGCTAACAAATAATGTGAAATCTGTCTTCTCTCAACACATCTCCTAATAAATTAATTACATATGTTTATGTCCACATGTATTGCTAAGAAGAAAATGTATGGGTGGGAAAATTTTGAGTTTCTTTGTATGGATTATTCTTGGAAGACACATTTGTTGACCTGACATACATTTATAAGCTAGATCTGTATGTTGTTAGGCCTGGTTTTTTATTCTGGAATATTCTTATTAGTAAAGTTTTGTTAGTGTGGACTATTGGCTAAGACTGGAAACTTTTTAAAATATGGGATTAGAGTTTTATAAAATCAGTTTAAACTTGTGGTTTTATATCATGATCCCATTTTTTGCCATAATTGGAAGAAATACACAGGTGCTAAACTTAAATAGTTTATTTAACTTTATCGGCCAGGAGCGGTGGCTCGAGCCTGTAATCCCAGTACTTTGGGAGGTTGAGGCAAGAGGATTGCCTGAGCCCAGGGCTTCGAGACCAGCCTGGGCAACTTGGTGAGACCTCATCTCTACAATATAACAAAAAAATTAGCCAGGCGTGGTAGTGTGTGCCTGTAGTTCTGGCTACTTGGAAGGCTGAGGAGGAAGGATCACCTGAGCCCAGCAGGTCGATGCTGGGGTGGCTGTAAGCTTGCTACCGTACTCCAGCCTGGGCTACAGAGTGACTGACTCAAAAAAAAAATGTGTATATATATGTGTGTGTGTGTAGAGAGAGTCAATAATGAAAACATTTTTTTTCTTTTATGTGGAGAGAAATGGAGTATCATTTCAAAATACATGTCAGCTCTCATTCTTTGAAAGTCTCATTTCAGTTTGTATTGTTTAGGTTTGAAGACTGCCTCATTCTGCCTCCGGTACCAGCATCTTTTCTCTTCTGTGATCAATGTGATTCACAGGAACTTCTTAAGTAACAAACGAAATGAGCCAAGGGCGTGGAAAATATGACTTTTATATTGGTCTTGGATTAGCTATGAGCTCCAGCATTTTCATTGGAGGAAGTTTCATTCTGAAAAAAAAAGGCCTTTTGCGACTTGCCAGAAAAGGCTCTATGAGAGCAGGTAGGTTATGCCCTATATGATTGTATGCCCCATGTGATTAATACACACATCAGTGTGTATTAATATGCCCAGGTTCTTGGACTGTTAAGACCACATCTTCATTTCTAGTGAGTATATTTGAAAATTTTAATTATTTAAGAGTTCTAAATGTTTATAGAGAATCAATATTCAATTTTGTAATGAGAAAAGTAAAAACTGAGATGTCATAATTAGTTTACTTCCCACTCCTGCAGTTATTATGAAAGTAGAAACAGGGACCAATGCCAGTTTAGCATCCAACCTTTTTCAAAAATTTTATATATCCATAATTAGAATCAGAATTTATGGAAGGCTGGGATCTTTTGTCCATGGTAGTAGAAGTTCTGACTTTGACCTTAGACATTTTTCCTGATCTAAGATCTTAAACTGGCAGGAAGGGAAGAGAGAGTTTCCCTGGTTTGAAGAGTATCAACTGGGTGGTGCAGGTTGTTTCCTTAGAAACTGCTGACAAGTCACAAGACCCTGAGGGTGATTGACCCCCACCCTGACTCCTCCATCTGGGACATTCATGATAGCTCCCAGTGTCATGTGGCATTATGGTCACATTCCATCATTGTGCCTCTGCTTTATTTCTAGACCTGACTGGACCTCATGAGTAGACCTGCTTTGACAATAAAAAAAATGCCACTTTCCTCTCTTTCATGTGTCATCTCTCTGGCCAAACCAGATTCAGCAGTTTTAAACCCTAAAACGAGAGTCTCTATCAGGGTTTAGTGAACAGAGGAGAAAGTATTGACATCTACTGCTTGTTCACCCAGTCCCTGATCCTTGGCGCTGAGGCAGGTACTTTCACTGATTTTGATGGATGTGCTTGTAAAGGATTCATTCACCTTGGCTTTTCCCTTTGGACAATGTCTTAAGTACTGATTGCTTTCTGACTATTAGTTTGGTCAAGAGGAAAGCCAAGGAAAAGCAAGAGGTGCATCCTGGAAGCTCCAGACAGTGAGCAGTGCCCACTCTGGTCAGCATAGGACCACCGTCCCCGAGATTATTACCTTATAAGTGGGCTTACCCACACCTAAATGGCTTTGAGACTAAACTCATTTGAAGTTGGAGTTGGGCTACTTCTGTTTTCTTGGTTGTGTTTTTTTTTTTTTTGAGTCTGGGGTCTCACTCTTGCCTAGACTGGAGTGCTGTGTTATGATCACAGCTCACTGCAGCCTTGATTTCCTGGGTTCGGGCAATCCTGCATCAGCCTCCTGAGTAACTGGTATTACAAGGTGTGTGCCACCACACCTGGCTAATTTATTTTTTGTAGAGATGAACTCTCGGTATGTTGCCTAGGCTGGTCTAGAATTCCTGGGCTGAAGCAGTTCTCTTGCCTTGGCCTCCCAAAGTGCTGGGATTATAGGCATGAGCCACCATGCCCGGCTGCAGTTGGACTACTGCTTATTGCTTCATTTTCTTTACTTTGTTGATTGAAGCTGAATTCACTGAACAGAAGAGGGAAGTATGAGCTGAATATAAGGTTTGATTTAGTTCTTTCACTCAATGGCATAGTATAAACCTAAACATTTTTTAATGTTCTCGTGATCCTTAAGTCTGTTTTTCTAAGATAATAATAAAAAATAATATCTAAGAAATCCCTTTAGTCATGCAGAAACCTTTATTTAAAGTAGCAATATTCAACATCTGTGATATTTTAAAAGCTGTCATTACCAATAGTTGCCATAATTTATATAAAAGTCTGATAACCTTCCAAAGGTGTGAAATATTTTTTCATTCACAGGTCAAGGTGGCCATGCATATCTTAAAGAATGGTTGTGGTGGGCTGGACTGCTGTCAAGTATGTATAGAGAACGTTACAAGAAAATATTATAGCTGTGTATTAAAATATTTTCTTATACTATTACAGCCTTATATTTTCTAGCAAATTTTATTTTATTTATTTATTTTATTTGGAGACTCACTCTATGGCCCAGGCTGGAGTGTAGTGGCATACTACAGCTCACTGCAGCCTCAGCCTCCTAGGCTCAGGCAATCCTTTGCCTCAGCCTCTTGAGTAGCTGAGATTACAGGCACATGCCACCATGCCCACATAATTTTTAGATTTTTTTGTGGCGATAAGATTGTGCTATGCTGTCCATGCTGGTCTCGCACTCCTGGGCTCAAGTAATCCTCCTGCCTCGGCCTCCCTGTGTTGAGATTACAGGTGTGAGCCACTGCACCTAGCCACATTTTAAATCTTTAAATAAACCTTTTTTTCTTTTTAAGTCAGAGTCTCACTCTGTCGCCCAGTCTGGAGTGCAGTGGCATGCTCACAGCCACTGCAGCCTCAACCTACTGGGCTCAGGTGGTCTTTCCGCCTCAGCCTTCCAAGTAGCTGGAACCACAGGCATGAGCCACCACACCCAGCTAATTTTTCAATTTAGAGACAAGGTCTTGCTGTATTGCTTAGACTGGTCTCGAACCTGTAGGCTCAGCCAATCCTCTTGCCTCAACCTCCTAAAGTGCTGGGATTACAGGCGTGAGCCACCGTGCCCAGCATAAACCTTGTTTTTAATTAACATAACTAAAATAGATTATATTTAAGCTGTAAAAATCATTCAGCAGTTTAATAGCTTATTAAATTTGAATGATAAGACTTTTTACCCATCCGATTAAAACATGTATGATATATCTGTATATTTTTTAAAGTGCTGCTCAATTTAAGGTAATTTTGAAAGTGAAAGTTCCTGTTTTTAGTTTTTCTCCTCCTGTTTGTTCTCATGACAAATTGAAAAGCAGGTATGTATTTGGTAAGACTGACCATACATATTTTGATGATTATCTTTAAAAAGTCATGGAGGCCGGGTGCAGTGGATCAGCCTGTAATCCCAGCACTTGGGGAGGCCGAGGCGAGAGGATGCCTGAGCCCGGGGATTCAAGACTAGCCTGGGCAACTTGGTGAGACCTCGTCTCTACAATAAATCAGAAAAAACTAGCTGGGTGTGATTGCATTCATCTGTAGTTTCAGCTACTTGGAAGGCTGAGGTGGAAGGGTCACCTAAGCCCAGCAGGTCGAGGCTGCAGTGACTGTGTGCGTGCCACTGCACTCCAGCCTGGGTGACAGAGTGAGACTCTGACTCAAAAAAAAAAGACACATGGAAAAAATTATCCTTAAGACACTGAACTTTTACCATTTATTCAACAAATATGTATTGATTGTCTGTTATATGCCAGACATTGTTCTAGGTGCTAGAGATTCCTTAGTGAGAGAAAAAGTGAAAAATTCTCACCTACTTTAAACTTACATTCTGAATGGGAGACAATAAACAAGATAAATAAATTAAAATGTGTGTGGTAATAAATGCTTAAAGAGAAGTGATGAAGTCAGGAGGGGTCTTTTGAAGTGGAGGACAGATATGTTTAATAAATGAGATTGAGGGCTAGGGCAAGCCTTGCTGAAAAGATATTCAAGTGACAGATGTAAAAGGAAGCAAGCCATCTGTCTATATGGATATTTAGGGGAAGAGCACTTGAAGCAGAAGCAAACTGTAACATGAAGGCCATGAGGTGGGACCATGCCTAGCTAGTTAACATGTGATTGGTAGCCTGCAAGATGGCCCTCAGTGGCTCGCACCTCCTGCTTTCATATTGAATTAGTGCTGGCCCGTCGTGATCAAAGAATACCACAGAAGTGATGATGTGTGACTTCTAAGGCTGAGTTGGGAGAGGCATTGCAGCTTTTTTCTTCATCGCTTGAGTTTCTCACTCTGGGAGAAGCCAGCTGCTGTGCTTTGATCCTTGAGCAGCCTACAGAGAGGTCCCTGGGCACTGAGCCAGGACATACTCATGTGATTTGAACCATCTTGGACTTGGGTCCTTTGGCCCTAGGGCATCCTTCAGATGACTGCAGCACAGCTTAAATCTTGACTGGAACCTCTTGAAAAACCCTGAGTGAGAACTACTGACTGACTCCTTTGTGAAGTTTTGACCAACAATCCACGAGGAAAATGTTTATTGTTTTCAACTGCCAGATTTTGAGGTGCTTTGTTAAGCAGCACCAGACTACTAAAACCTCAAGAGACATTAAAGAGACAAGTGTAGCCATGAGGAACTGACTGGAAGTAGTAGGAGATAAGTTCAAAGAAGTCATGTGGGCCCAGATCATGTGGAGCTTTGTAAGTCACAGAAAAGACTTTGACATTTATGTTGGGTGGGAAGTCATTGGAAACTTGAGCAAGGGAGTGACATAGTCTGTCTTAGGTTTTTTTATTTTTATTTTTTTGAGTTGGAGTCTCACTCTGTTGCCTAGACTGGAGTGCTCCGGCGATCCTTCCACCTCAGCCTTCCAAGTAGCTGGAACTACAGGCGCGTGCTACCACAGCCGGCTCATTTTTTTGATTTAGTGTAGAGATGAGGGCTCACCAAGTTGCCCAGGTGAGTCTCGAACTCACGGGCTTAGGCAGTTCACTACCTCGGTCTCCCAAAGCGCGGGATTACAGGCTGAGCCACCGAGCCCAGCCCTGTTTTAGGTTTTAAGTGGCTCTTTCTGGCTGCTGTGTTGAAGCATAGGCTGCAGGTGGGCAGAAACAGAAACCAGGTAGGAGGTTATTGCAGCAATCAGGTAATAGGTGATGATAGTAGATCAGGTGTGGGTAAGCCCATTTATGAGGTAGTAGCAGTGAATGTGGTGAGAAGTGATAGAATTCTGGATATGTTTTGAAGGTAGAACTGACAAGAATACTCACTAACATGTAGGGTGTGAAAGAGAATGGAGAATGTCGTGATAGTTTTTGACCATAGTAACTGGAAGAACAGAATTGGTGTTTACCTGAAGGTAAGACTATAGGAAGGCCCTCAGCTGATTGGATGAGGTGATATCAGGAGTTTAGTCTGGATGTGTTAAAGTTAGAAATGCCTCTAAGATATTCAAGTAGATATATGAAGTTGGTAATTAGGTAGATAGGCATGGAATTCCTTGAAGTGGCTCAGGCTGGAGACAAAAACTGGGGAGTCATTGCTGTTTAAGGTCACGAGAATGGATGAGATCATGTAGGGAATGAACATAGAGGCCCAAAATCAGAGACCTGAGAGCAGGTCCAGGTTCATATATAATTCAGGAAAAGGAGTGGGAAGAGGCTGAGAAGGAGCAGCCAGATAAGTAGGAGGAGATTAAGTGAGCCTGATGTCAGGGGAACCAAGTGAAAAAAGTGTTTGAGGTAGCAGAGCGTGCTTATTTGTGTCAGATGGCACCTGTGGTTCTAGCTTCTCAGGAGGCTGAGATGAGGATTGCTTGAGCTCAGGAGTTCAAGACCAGCCTGAGCAACATAGTGAAACCTTGTTTCTCAGGAAAAAAATGTAGGTACAATTAGGATTGAAAAATAACCATTGAATTTAGCAATACAGAAATCCTCAGTGACCTTGATAATAGCAGTTTATCAGGGTCTGTCACCTAGGCTGAAGTGCAGTGGTATGATCATGGCTCACTATAACCTTGAACTCTTGGACTCAAGCTATCCTCCTGCTTCAGCCTCCAAGTAGCTAGGACTACAGGCATGCACCACCATACCCAACTAATTAAACTTTTTTTTTTTTGTAGAGACAGTGTCTCATTATGTTGTCCAGGCTGATGTTGAACTTTGGCCTCAAGTGATCCACCCGCCTTGACCTCCTCCCAAAGTGTGATTATAGGTGTGAGCCACTGTGCCCATCCGAGAATAGCAGTTAATACAAAACTTTTGAACATCAAAAAGCAGTATCAGTGCTTATGGTAATGATGGACGAGGCAATTAAATCAACATTCTAGATGAAAACAAGTTAAAAAGATAGACAAAATATAAAACTCATTCTGTTAAAAGCATCCAAGAGCTGACATGGTGGTGAAGGATTATCTGGTCAAGTTTAGGGAAGGGATCAGTGCTCAGAAGAGTAAACTGGAGATAATTCTGCTCTGAGGTAACTGCAGGTTCTAGAGGAGGCAGCTGAGAGAGAGAGAGTGAAGGGTCAGAGTCTGGCACTGCCAGAATGGGGAACACCATCTACTCTGGGCTGGTTCTCTGGGAGGGCTGTACCCTGGGAGTGAGGTGGGCATTACGCACTGTCTGGTCGTTTGCATGCACTTGGTAACTCTAGCCTTGATCCTGAACAACTGTTGTTCTCTGGCACCTGACAAAAGAAAGTAAAAATTATCTCTTCAAGATATAATATCACTTTCACCTAAACTGTTTCAGTAAGTAATTTTAAAGATAAAATATCTGAGGAAATAAAGGCACATAAGATTAAGAAACTTTAGCAAAAAATAACAGAAACTTGACGTACATGCTGGATACAGTGGCTCACACCTGTAATCCTAGTGTTTTGGAAAGCCAAGGTGGGAAGCCTAAGAGATGGCGCCTAGCCTGTGCAACATAGCAAGACTTCATCTCTACAAAAATAAAAATTAAAAAAATTAGGAGTGGCGATGTGCACTTGTAGTCCAGCTACTCAGGAGGCTGAGGCAGGAAGATTACCTGAGCTCAGGAGGTGAGCCCTGATTGTGTCATTGCACTCTTCCCTGGGCGACAGCATGAGGCCCCAACTCAAAAAAAAAAATTGAACTACAGACTTCAAATGGAAGTATCATGATCTGAAAACAACTGTGCTTACTACAAGGCACTATACAAGGAACTATAGTTCTTGTTTTGTTTTTATTGGGTTTTTGTTTGTTTGTTTGTTTTAATTGGAATCTTAACTCTGTTGCCTAGGCTGGAGTGCAGGGGCACTATCATGGCCACTATAGCCTCAACTTGCTGGCCTCAGCTTTCCAAGTAGCTGGAACCACTGTTGCACACTACCACGTCTGGCTAATTTTTTGATTTATTGTAGAGATGAGGTCTTGCCAAGGTTGGTTTCGAACCCCTGAGCTCAGGCAGTCTTCTCATTTCTGCCTCCCAAAGTGCTGGGATTACAGGCGTGAGCCATCGCGCCCAGCTTGGAACTATAGTTCTAAACAGTGAACTGGACTAGAGTGACATAGATTTGCAACGAAACAAAAAACCTGAAAAAAAATTATAGAATTTAAAAATGCAAAAATAAAAATACAGTAATGAAAACTGAATGAATTGGTTAGGCTAGGTACAGCTGAAGAGACTTTGTGAACTGAAGGTATTTGGGAAGAAATTATCTACATTGAAGCAAGATAAAAGGATGGAAAATATAGATAAGAGGGATATGAAACTTAGAGGTTTCAATAAATAATTGGAGTCTCAGAATAAGAAGGGACAGAATAGAGCAGAAGCAGTGTTTGAAAAAAAAAATGGCTGACCAAAGCTATCAAACCACAAGTTCAAGATGCCCCACAAAACCTACACGGAATCTGTGAAAAGAAAACTGGGCCCAAGACAGAATATCTTAAAAGCAGTTAGAGAAAAACGGTCAGAGTATCCTCAAAGGGGTAACAGATTGACAGCTGAGTTTTCAGCACTGGAGTTTGAACGAAAACAGTTGGAAATACAGTTTCAAAGTGCTGAAGAAATTAACTGGCAATAAAACTCTCTACTCAGTGAAAATATTCAAGAATCAAAGTAAAACATATTTTGGACAAACAGACTGATAATGTAACTATACTAAAGCAAATTTAAAAGGGTATTCCAGTTAGCAGGAAGAAATTGATCTAAATGGAAGTTTAGAGACACAGGAGTAGTGATGAGCATGGAGTATATCTGAGTGTGTGCTGATGAATAAAAGCAACTTGTGTACTTAAAGTATCCATACATAAAATTTTTAAAAATATAATAACAAGCTGGAAGGGAGAAAATGGATTAAAGAATTCAAAGGCTCTGACATTGTTTGGAAGGAAAGTAAATGTCAACATTAACATGAGACTTGAGCGGTTAAGGATACATACTGTAATTTCTAGGGTATTTAGTAAAAAAAAAAAAAAAATAGAACAAATGTATAACTTCCTAATTAGCGAGGGAAAGGGCAGAATAGCACAAAATTTAAAAAAAAGCCAAAAACAGTAAAGATAATGGCCAGGCACAGTGGCTCATACCTGTAATCCCAGTGCTTGGGGAGGCCAGGACGAGAGGACTGCCTCAGTCCAGGGGTGAGACCCGTCTCTACAGCAAATCAATAGCCGGGTGTAGCGGCATCCGTCTGCAGTTCCAGCTACTTGGAAGGCTCAGGCGGAGGGATCCCGAGCCCAGCAGGCTGCGGCTCTGGTGGCTGTGAGTACGCCAGCCTGGGTGGCAGAGCAGCCTCTGACTCAGAAAAGAAAGCAAGCGAGAAGAGCGTAGACGAGGCGGAGCGGAGAGCGCCCGGACGTGGAACGGAAAGTGGGGCTTTCTTCAGACTTGTCGTGGACTGGCCACTGGGTATCCATTATTGGACTTTGTTTACTTTTTGAGTCAGGGCCTCGCTGGAGCACAGTCGCACAGTCACGGCTCACTGCAGCCTCAGCCTCCTACGCTGCAGGGATCCACCCTCTCAGCCTCCCGAGCAGCTGGGACTGCAGGTGTGCACCACCGTGCCTGGCTACTTTTTGTAGAGACAAGGTCTCACTGTGTTGCCCAGGCAGCTCCTGGGCTCCCATGATTCTCCTGCGTCAGCTTCCCAAAGCTCCGAGATTACAGATTTGAGCCACTGCGTCTGGCCCCTTGATTGAATTTTAATAGGAACAGACAAAGTAGGAATTAAAGGGAAGTTTATTAAGAGAATGAAAAGGCAAACTGCAAAGTATAAAAGATCATTGTGACATATTTAACCAACAGAATATTATGCCCAAGATATACCTTAAACAGCTACTTCCCTAAAATATTTACTAAAGGCATTTTAATAAAAATAAGACTTTTTTTTTTTTTTTTGAGTTGGAGTCACTCACCTCAGCCTCCCAAAGGCACAGGATTACAGGCTGAGCCGCCGAGCCCGGCAAAATAAGACATTTAAAATAAAACACCCTTATTTAAGATTTCTTCAATTAAAATGAATAGATATGTGTCTAATTGACTTGGACTCTTCTAATGTTGGAGGTTTACAGAGCTATAACCTTTATTAATAGATTGGAGAAAATATGAACTTTACTAAATACAGTTGAAATAATGTATAGATTGCATAAAATGCATGTACTTCCAGGTTGAATACATGTATTTCTACCTGAGAGTTTTCCTTTTGTTGTCTGTCTCCAAGTGGGAGCTGGTGAGGTGGCCAACTTTGCTGCATATGCGTTTGCACCAGCCACGCTAGTGACTCCACTAGGAGCTCTCAGCGTCCTAGTAAGGTAAGGACACTACAGTTTATGTGCAGAAACACTAGTCAGTGTTCTAGTCTGTAAAATATTCAATACTGTATAATTCTATATGTTCAGCATAATTTACATTTCAATGACCTTGAGGACTTTGTGTTAAAACTGTATAATTTGTGCGTGTAATTTGCCTTTGAAAAGTTACCTCCTGTTCATAGGCAAGCTTTTGATTTGTGAGAGAAAATGTTTTGTCATCCTTGGATTCAGAGTCAGTACTAGTTCTTTGAGTTCAGGTTTTCAAGATTCCAAGTTAACACTTTGCCAACATCTGTCATTCAGTGCACATACACTTTGGCGGGACATAGTTGGTGATGAGTAGATTCTGTGCCTGGCCTGGGGTGATTGTTTTCAACGAGTAGGCTAAGATCTGTCCCATTTCTGATATTTTAATGATTAGCCCAAACGACTTATCCCATGTTGAAGTCTGGATTTTGGTTACTATGCCCAAAGTTGATTGATAGATATTTTTATTCTTTTTTTCAAGAAACTATATAAATTAGGGTTATGACAAGTTGGTACCCTTTACCCTTAATTTTCTTTATAGTATACTCTTATTATACTTACTAGTTTATACTGCATTTCTGTTTGTTTGGGTAAAACTAGCTAAAAGTTATTGAAGTGTATTATATACAATTAAATGAACACATAAGAGGTACACATCAACCAATAGGAATAAGTTAATGTTGAACAAATTTTAAGCATTGGTTTGGATGTAGATTTTTAGTTAGGACATTTTAACAAACTCTAGTTCTTTATTATAAACTTCATATTGACAACTTGCAGTAGAAAGATGGTAAATATACAGGTGAGCTGTATGATGCAGATGATTCCCTGGAATTTTTCACATTTTATGATTAGATGTGCATTTTTTTTTTTTTTTTTTTTTGAGTTGGAGTCACTCTCTTGCCCAGGCTGGAGTGCTGTGGTACGCTCACAGCCACCCCGGCATTGAACTGCTGGCCTCTGGCGATCCTTCCATCTCAGCCTTCCAAGTAGCCAGAACTACAGGTGCGCACTACCGTGTCTGGCTAATTTTTGATTTATTGTAGAGATGAGGTCTCACCAAGTTGCCCAGCCTGGTCTTGAACCCTGTGGGCTCAGGCAGTTGACTCGCCTCGGCCTCCCAAAGTGCTGGGATTACAGGCTGAGCCACCGAGCTTTTTTGTTTGTTTTTTTGGGTCAGTCTCACTCTGTTGCCCAGGCTGGCATGAGCACACAGCTCATGGCCATCACAGCCTTCACCTGCTGGGTTCAGGCGATCCTTCCACCTCAGCCTTCCAAGTAGCTGGGGACTACAGGCATGTGCCACCATGCCTGGCTAATTTTTTGATTTATTGTAGAGATGAGGTCTCGCCAAGTTGCCCAGGCTGGTCTCCAACCCCTGGGCTTACACAGTCCTCTCACCTCAGGCTCCCAAAGTGCGGGGATTATAGGCGTGAGCCACCATGCCCAGCCAGTTTTTTTTTTTAACTTTGGTGAAAGCTGAAATCTTCATAAGCTCACAGTATTTGAGTTCAGTGATTTAAATTCCAAGTTGTACTGATATTTGAAAATCAGAGCCGGGCTCAGTGGCTCAGCCTTTAATCCTGTGCCTTTGGGAGGCTGAGGTGAGGGGATTGCATGAGCCCGCGGGTTCGAGACCCGCCTGGGCAGTGAGACCTCATCTCTACAATAAATCAAAAAATCAGCCGGGCATGGTAGCGCATGCCTGTAATTCCGGCTACTTGGAAGGCTGAGGCGGAAGGATCGCCGGAGCCCAGCAGGTCGAGGGTGCGGTGGCCGGGAGCAGCCACTGCACTCCAGTCTGGGCGACAGTAAGACTCCAACTCAAAAAAAAAAAAGAAAGAAAATCAGAAAAGTAGCTGATGATTTATTTTAAGGTTCTCAACCTTTTTTCCTCTCCATTTTAGTGCCATTCTTTCTTCATACTTTCTGAATGAAAGACTTAATCTTCATGGGAAAATTGGGTGTTTGCTAAGTATTCTAGGATCTACAGTTATGGTCATTCATGCTCCAAAAGAAGAGGAGATTGAGACCTTAAATGAAATGTCTCACAAGTTAGGTGATCCAGGTAAGAAAAAAGAAAACCTTTAGTAGTCTTGGTGTATTTTACTTTTTTTTTTTTTTTT